AAGGGGAGAGAGAGATAAAAACAATAGAAACATCAACGATGAGAATCATTGATCAGCTGCCTCCTGCATGCCCCCTACTGGGGATAGAGCCCGCAACCTGGGCATGTGTCTTTAACTGGAATCACACCTGGGACCCATCAGTCCGTAGGCCAATGCTCTATCCACTGAGCCAAACCGGCTAGGGCCAGAGGCAGTTACTTTTGAAGTGGCTTCAGAGGACAATTAGACATTGCATACCTTGTGCCAGTAACCATGGCAGCTGTGCCTAAAATGTAGTCACCAGTTAACTATTCAATATATTATATATGAACAAATGGTTAGGGCAGTGGTTCTCAACCTGTGGGTCGCGACCCCTTTGGGGATCGAACGACCCTTTCACAGGGGTCGCTTAAGACCATCAGAAAACACTTATAATTACATATTGTTTTTGTGATTAATCACTATGCTTTAATTATGTTCAATTTGTAACAATGAAATTGGGGGTTACCACACCATGAGGAACTGTATTAAAGTTCACGGCATTAGGAAGCTTGAGAACCACTAGGTTAGGGAACAATAGGTGCTACGTAAATACTATTTTTCTTGCTTTTTCAAAATAATTAGTTAAATTACAATATTCCTTATTCCTCCAGAAAACAAATGGTTAAATAAAAATCTAAATACATAAGATCCTATTTGCCTGTATTTATACACTAATGCTTGGCAAAACATTTCATTGTTTCTTGTTGCTTTTCTCATTTATCTTGCTTTCTTTGGTTGTTACAAAATAATTATTATAAGTCTTGAATTTCACCCCCCCCTCAGATGGAGATAGAGAGACTTCTTCAGGAATTGTACATGTCATCTGTGATTGATGACAGTACCTGAAGATAACTATTAATTGTGGCAGGAACTAGATGAAATCAGATGGAATATATACTTAGCAAAGTTCTGTATTTCTCTTAGATTGGATAAGTCCTTGAATTGACTTCAAATAGAATTCTTTAGAGCTCTTTTGTTGTAATACCTACAATATTGTTCTCTTAAAATATAAACTTAAAAAAATCAATCTTATATGAAAACTAGAGGCCTGGTGCCGATTGAGGCAGATTGGGGGTGGGGCCTGCCGGGGGGAGAGGATGTGTGAGGTTGACCAACCGGCCCCGCCCACTGGTTGAACTACCGGTTGAACTCCTGGTCGAGGGGACAATTTGCATATTAGCCTTTTATTATATAGGATAGCCTCTATAGATCTGAAAATATTTCTATTTAAAATTGCAAAGTAACGTTCACTCCCTCCTCCCCCAAATGACTCCAGATATTACTTTTAGAGCAGTGGTTCTCAACCTTCCTAATGCCGAGACCTTTTAATCCAGTTCCTCATGTTGTGGTGACCCCCAACCATAAAATTATTTTCGTTGCTACTTCATAACTGTAATGTTGCTACTGTTATGAATCATAATGTAAATATCTGATATGCAGGATGTATTTTCATTGTTACAAATTGAACATAATTAAAGCATAGTGATTAATCACAAAAACAACATGTAATTATATATGTGTTTTCCGATGGACCCCTGTGAAAGAGTCGTTCGACCAACAAAGGGGTCGCGACCCACAGGTTGAGAACCACTGTCC